TTTCATATTTAAAGAATTTGCCACTGATGATTCAAACGCGAGTTTTGAGCAGTGTAGAGTAGCGCTTGATGTTTGTCGTTTCTCCGTTCACAAATGCAGACATGGCTTTATGTTTATGCAGCGCGATACACAAGGCAACACCTAAAAAGACAGAAGTCAGTAATTATGTGCCCACTGGATGCAGCAAATGCCTCATTTGTAATGCGTTTTGTTGGTTTTGGCTTGTCGTGCTGGGACTCTGCATCACAGTATGTTAAGTGGCATAACATTTCCGTCATGCGCTAGAGGAATTCGTCCAATCACAACACAATGGATAGCTGGCCAATCAGCGCACACCTTGCTTTTCAGACCGATTTATGTGGAAAATAATGTGTTTTTTTAACCTTAAACCACATAAACACATTGCATTACATCAAATACACAAAATAATGTTATTTTTAACAATATCATATGACCCCTTTAAAAGACATGTGTCACTGCAAAGACACCAGTTTACATCCATTAGTGTCCAGCTGCCCTCTCTTTAAAGCATTTAGACTAGCAGTCTCATCTTGTGACAGTTAATGAGTCTGAAAGAGTGCCAGTTTAACCCGTTTGCTTACACAATATTACAGCTTCAGGCAACATCACACACCTCCAGTGTAATTATGCATGTATTTCATTACTTAGGCCTAATTCCAGCATTTAACAAACAGAATAAAAGATAAAACACTTAAACACCGACTGACAAGATCAACAATGTACATACTAACAACACCACCACAGGGACTCATTCTTACGTTCAAAATGTCCCAAACCATACATACTATCATAAAATTAACACAAATTAATATAATATTCACATTTTACGCAACTGTACAGACAGCTGTCACCTGTCAGGGTTTACATAAACATGAGCAGTGTTACTGATCCGTAGCAGACATGCTAGGCTAACGTTAGCATGATTAGCTAAAGCTCTGCCAGCTTATTTAGAGCCAAAAGTCAAAATAATTGTTTACCGTGAAAACCAAAACCTATGTTAATATGCACTATAAGTCACTGACATGTATTGAGATATTAGTTGGATGTCAGTGACACCAAGTACGAGAAAGACACACACCTACGAGGTGATATGTTTAGATTAGCTTTAGTACCGCTTTACCCTAATATCGCATCAGCTAGGTCGTGTCTTGGTTTAGCTTTATTTGACTTATGAAGTCAAGGAGTAGCGTGTAATGTAGACAAAAAAAAAGAAAAAGAAAACAGTACTGATGTGTACATAAACGGTGTGTTCGTGAATAAACGTGGCAATGTTTAGTGATCCGGCAGCACAACAGATCCAGGAGGCCCTAAACAGTGACGATCAGGAGGCCCAAAGACTGTCACAACAGCAACTCTATCAAGAGTGAGCGATTAATCTCACAGACCCTATACATTATCACATACACCTATCAGGAGTGATGGACGGTCCATCGGGAGCCTGAATAGTAAGGTGTCGATCTTAAAACACTGCTCTATCAGGAGGCCCTGGAGTGGAGAATCACTCACACACAGTCCTTCATACCAGATATATCACATAGCGATAAAGGGACTCAAGAGTGAGTATTTTGACAGTCCTCCACAAGGAGTCCAAATAGAGAGGAGTCATTCCCACAACACTGCACCATCAGAAGATCAAACACTATCTATCAGGATCATCTCGACACTCTCCTTCTCCGTCACAAGCTATAGGAGGAACGGATCTCGCATACTTCTCCTCTATGACGAGGTCCAGCCCAGGATTCTGTGCTATGATCCCGGCCGGCCTGGATAAATTCCTCAGAACCCGTCCGAACCGAAACTCACCGTGCATAGCCGAGGCCTGTAAAATAGCCCCAGAGGTGCCGTCGATAACTTTGATGCTGCCCCGGCTGGTGACGGCCAGGATGGCGTTGAGGGCCGGGTGGTAGGACAGACTCCGTAGGCCCTCCTCATCGCAGCGCAGGCAGCCGTCTCTCAGCACGACCCAGTCCGGCGAGCCTGGCGAGGCCGCCGCCGCCGCCATCTTCCTGCTATCTTCCCTTCCTGCTTTCCCTCCTCCTTCAGTAGCTCCTCCGTGGACGTGACTCGACGAGAAAACGTTAAAGCTGAATCCCGAAGTACCGCTGCGCTTCCACTGCAGGATCTAAACCTCCTCCCGATACCGCAGGAAGCAGCGATTCGCCATCAGCGGAGCGGAAACCAGCGGCTCCTTCTACTCAAACACTCAGCGTGGAAACGGAACTGGCGTAGTCACCGTGTGATCGCCCGCCGAACCTCAGGGGGCGCTGTCTGTCGATAGATAGATAGATAGATAGATTGATTTGTATTTTTTATTTTCTTTTAATTTATGATATTGTTAGTTTCTGTTTGAAAACAAGCTTTTTTTCCCCCAGCAGAAGCATTAGGAAGTCACACCTTTTAAGGTTCTTGTAGTTAAAGATAACAATTATTTAACATTATGTCAAACCAGTAAATTATCTTTATAAATTCTTTATCAACAGAATTTTGACAGCAAATCTCCAACTGTTTTTTTTTTAGATTATACTTTTATTTTGTGTCCTCAAAATATCATACATAATCACTTTTTTGATTGAAGTATTTACTGTTAAAACCAGTAACCATATTTTTGTATATTGAACATTTTGTAATAATGAATATTAAATAAACCAATTAATCATGCAATTAAGTATTATTCCCTGACATTAATGAGATTCACAACAAAAAGTGTAATTACAGTGTCAACAGATTTTAATTTGTTTCATGAATATAACAATTTCCAGACTCAATTGTTTTAGCTAAACTAATATGGTAACATATGTCTGCAGTGTACACATCACCAGGTAGAAAGCTGTTTTCAATTGCATGTTCTACAAATAAAAATTCCTTTCCTTTTTGGCTACATTTACATAAATAAAATACACCACAGCCATATAAAACGACCAATTCAAGGCACCCATACATAGCAGGCCTTTTTAATCTAAGCTGTACTGCCTGCACACTCTCTTTTTCCATGTAGAACTCATAAATTAAAAATGAAAAGTGATAAGATGAAGAATTCTGTGAATGTATTGGATCAGTCTACAACAACAACAACAAAATCTGTCTACCATCAGCTGGTTAACGCAAAAGTTTTCACCACTGTGTGTGGTGGTGATGACACAAATTCTGTTACATGACTATCATGCCTTTCATAGTCTTTTACAATATAAAGATCTCCTTTTTATTTTCCTCTTGGGGTTTGTAAATATCATGTAAAACCAGGTCTCCAGATTTCTGTGGCAGAGGCATCTCTGCAAACAGGGCTTCCACAGTAAAAGATGCAGCTTTTTATTGTGTACAAAATTAATGGAAGCAGTTAAATACACTAATGTCTGTACACCTCATTCCCCAAAGCATATAGGATTATAAACAGGGTAAAAGAAAATAAAAAAGGAAAGAAAGAAAATGCATCATGGAATATCCCTGCTGTGCAACTCTCCACAGTGCTCTTTGTCAATGTCCAAGCAACGAGCCAATCAAAGCCTGTGGTCAATTCAGACTCCAGTATACAGAGACAGGAAGTAGATGTACAAAAGGAAGATGGGATATATGAGAAGGGGTTTCTTCGTTTTGAATTCATCACTGACGAGTAAAGAGGCAGCACTGTATGCAGCCCAGAATACTCCAAAAAGCTAGAAGAGAAAAAACAACAACATATTTACATATTATTATTATACATAATTTCATATTCCTTTTTTTATTCATATTTACCTTTATGAGTGTAGAGACTATGTCAAAACCCCCAATGACCAGGAGAAGTGGAGCTATTACAATGAGTGGGAGCAAAGAATAGCCAATAACTCCAAGCACTTGCCCATAAGACACCTATAAATAAAATTAAAAACCATAAGTGGGCATCTCTTTCAACTCATAAAAATCATATGCTATCTGACGCTTCACAAGATATAAATACCTCTCCACCCAGCACTCTTGCAAGAAGGAAAATCATCAGTGATCCAAATATCCAGATTGTAATAATCCAGGAAACAACCTGATTGGTCAAAAAAAGATATATGACATTTTAAAAAAGAATCCAAATTTGATGCACTTCTGCTTCTGTTTTGACTAACTAAATCATGCAAGTGACAAGGTCATATTGAAATGAAAAATGACAAAATAATTAATCTCTCCAATCTTCATGTCTTCTTGAAAGTTACTTTAGTATGCAGGCATAAATAATGATATATTATTACATTTATTTTCTTAATTATCAAATTAATACTTAATGTTTAATCAATTCTAGGACTGTCAATCAATTAAAACTAAATTAAATTACATATTAAAAAACTGATGAGAATAAAATAATTTCAAGTCACATCTGCATAATGGCAGAATAAATGTTAAAATATTCTAAATATTAAAAATATTTAATGAATAGACATTGTGGTTTTAGAAGCTTAAATATTGGTCATTTTATTTCCATGTTATTGAAGATAAACTTGTCACTAGCCTAGAGTCTACAGTTATTTTGCATTTTGATGGTAGGTCTATGTGCACATGCATCATGACTATCAGTGGCGTGTTTAGTGTATTGGGGGTACCCTTTGGTAGAAATCACGTTCCGCGGAGGCCCCACACAATTGCGTGGGTTTCGTGGTGCCTAAACACACTACTGATAACTATATACATTAGGGATGTAACCGGTTTGACGATAAATCATGAAAAAATTCCCCACAGTTAGTATTACCGTTTCATCTTTTAATTATCATTAAAACCGTATTAGATTACCGTGATTTGAACAACTCGCGATAAATAAATACTGTCCAGCATAAGGCACAGTTTTAAGTAACAGTTTCACGTGTGCACAGCACGCAGTGTAGTTTCGTTTTGAGTGAAAACAGGGCGGAAAAGCTGGGAGGTATTAAAAGAGTGCTAAGCGAATTATACAAATGTATATATGAATTAATTAATTATATGATTGTACCTCTGAAGGTTCTGACTGTCTTCAGAAAAGAATCGATGGCTGCACAATCATCATTTAATTAGTCACTTAATTATCTCATTAACTTTAACTCTTTGAGGACTTGGGATATGACTTGAAGACTTGCTTGTGATTTGAAAGTCCCACCTCTGCGCGATACTGCTTTGTCCACGGAGGTTACGGGAAACAGCTCTAATTCAGCTTTTCCATAAGCGCCACCTGCTGTCAGCGAGTGGATTTACAGAGACTTATATTTACATTCAGCCTGTGTGCAGTTTCTGTCTGGCCAAAAACGGACCGAATTTGCATGCCCTGCTGTAAATTTTGACCGGTTGATGAAAAACAAGCTTATGTGGATTCTACACATTTAAACAATTCAGATAAGTTATCTAGAATTCTTTATGGAGCAGATATAATACATATAATCATTTATTAATCAATTATCATTTTGACATATCTTTTCTTTATTTAAAAGCTGAAATGTGAGGTTTACCTTTTCAAAGCTTTATTTGAACATTTACATTAGATATTTCAACATGCTATTAAACTGTTGTCAGTCAAGTTGTCCTTTAAAATACGAACATCATTGGTAATGTTATTGTTTTAGTGATTAAGCAAACAAAAAGTCATTTTATTTGTTGTTTGTTGATTTTTGAATATAAAACTTGGTGAAGCGATTTATGTGTCGGTACTTTTTTAACATCTCCAGCACATTTTAACAACACCGTGATAATACCGATAACCGTGATAATGTGTCACTATAATCGTGATAAGAAATTTTCATACCGTTACATCCCTAATATACATAAATATTATGCCCATTGTCAAAGACTCATGTCTCACCCTGAACTGTCCATAGATGGAGATCATGGAGAAGAGCAGGACAACAGCCAGCGGGCCCCAGAAATCAGGATTGTCCCTCACCACCTGTCTGTTAAAGCCCAGCGAGGGCATGGGCATCAACACACACCTGATCTTGTAGTAGATGTCCTTTAAGTCAATGTCCAACTCCTCCCTGCACAAACACAGACAACCAATAAACACAACCAAAGCAAATGTGACATCAAGCGCCAGAAGTCCCACAAACTCACAGGAGCGGTTTAGTGTCCTCGGTATCATCTTCCTCCACCTCCAGCAACCATCCGTAACCTCTCTGCCTCAGAAAGGTGGTGGCGTAAGTGTCCCTGGTGGAATCCGGGCCAATATTTAGTGTGATATCCGGTGCATCTATGGTGCCGCTGAGCTCTGGTGGATAAGAGGTTGTTTTAGATTTATACAGCTCACTATTACATCCCTATTGAGTCTCCAAAACAACACCCATGTCATGATGTATTAAAAGGATTGATCATTCACAAACTTAGATATATTCTCATATTAATGTATGTGTACATAATACACACAACACACAAACACAGCCAACTGCATTCCAACATAAATCAGGCTCACATATCAGAGCAGAGAAGTATGGATGCTTTGGGGCCTTTAACTACTGTACCTTCAGCGTCCGTCGAGGAGACGAAGGTAAAATCTCCGTTGGTGGGAGAGAACTGCATTGCTGACAGCGATAACAGCTCGGGCTTCACTCACAATCACACACCGCCGCCGATCGCGCACCTTCACACCATTGCCACGTTTAACGATTCCTACCGATCAGCTTTCGAACGGGACTGCTGGCTCAAAACAGTCATGGAGGAAGCAGGAAGTGCAGAAAAACACAGACGACACGTCAAATCCTGGAGCAGGGCGGAACGGGGAGGCACGCGCTCCACCCAGCGACAAAAATGAGGACCGACAACACATATTCAATGCAGAGACAGCACCACCCCGTGACCCTTCTGCAAAAATTAGGATTACATGTATGACATTTATTATATATATGACCCAGTCCACCTTCAGATATATGCCTTTCCAAGCCATTTATCTGACTGTATTATTTAAATTGACGGAACGTTTTTACATTGTCGTTATAATGTTAATGTTTATGTAATATATAGTGCTTTTATTTTAATCAGCGTTATTGACACCATTATTATATTAAATCCATTGCATGTTATTACACTTACATTGAACAGAAGTTGTGAGACAGAACTGCAACTGAACGGCATAATGAAGATGGCTAAAATAATCCACAATCATCTCTTCAGTCATATATCTACAGTTAGTGTACACTCATTCTTATATGCTCAGTCATATGTAACAAAGTAAGTATATAAAATAAACAATTTTAAAACAAAGTCGAAAGGGATCGACTTTTATAACTGCTTCCGTCTTTTTTTT